CTACATAGCCCATCATCCACTGCACTGATTGCACCCAGCACTGATTGCACACAGCTGTAACCAATCACACATTCACTATATAACACTCACTAGATCCCTTTCAAACTGCCGAGTATTGTTTAGCGCTTATCGCTCATCGTGTGATAGCTACTTTACGGAGCCCTTTCCCTGTGTTAGTTTCTAGTTCCTAGTTCTAGTCTTTGTCTAGTCTCGCCGTGTTTTCTGATTTCCTGGTACCTAATTTTTGCCTGTTTATCTTGAGTTAACCCTTTGCCTGCTGTTTCGAACTGTGTTTGCACCTCGCCTGGACTCTAGCTCGTGTTATTGGATAACCCCTCATGTCAAGCCCTCTGGATATTGTTAGCCGCTTATCGACCACGCCCGTTTTGGATTACTCTTCTGTCTTGCCCTCAATATACCTGTTTGCCATTGTCTGACCCATGCCTGTTTTATGACCACGTCTCTGTCTCCTATTAAAGCTTTGCAAATGGATCCGCAAGTCTCATGTCTCGTTCGCTCCGTAACAATAACGGAGAAAAAAAACAACACAAACATACACGTAGCACACACATCCCAAAACAACCATAGGCTATGTAGAAATATAATCTTAATCCTAAACACAATGAATTACAGCTTTATTTAAAGTGCTAAAATAATTGCTTCCTTTTTTATCGTCAGTTCGGCCCTGCACTCTGATTGTGTTGTGTATTTTTTGAGGGCCATCTCAAGGCTGGTCAGAGACCCCATGCAGCTCCTGCTCTATGTGCAAGAAGAAGCTTTGGCCGGAGATAATGAGGCCCTCCGCACGGTTTCCACACTCAGTCCTGCTGCCTCTGAGGACTCGAGCCACACGTGCAGTGGATACAAAACCCCAGACCCCCACATTTATCCTCACTGGCCCCTCTGTATCTCCACTCTAATGGTCTGGACTCATCTGAAGGCCAAAGGTAATTTGATGCGCTCTGCAGTAATGAGCGTGGTGTTGCTGACATCTGGCCCATAAGGTGCAAGAAGACAAGCGAGAATACAATGATGGATTACAAAAATACTGGGGACTGCAAAGCCTCAGATAAAGAGGAGAATCTTTTCTTGTATGAGCAGAAAGTCAGGTATACTCCCTTAGGCCACTGCAGACCTTCTGCAAAAAAAAAAAAAGAGGAAAGAAGGTCAAACCATGAAGCCAACACTATGCATTGTTGTTCGACTTTGATGACAGATGGTCATCCAAACATTTGGAACATATTTGTTTGACAGTCAGCAGAGTCCAAGTGTCAGACATGGAAAAAAGAAAGCATTCCAGGTGGAAAATTAGAAATAACACTTGGAAATTACTTTTCGTAATTTAAAATGTTTATTATAAACTAGATAACCCTGAAGGCAACTATATATTTTTATCAATACAGACCCTTTTTTATTGTGTAAAAAATTCATATCATAAAGGCTACATATTGTTTCTGTAAATGTAAATTCAAAATGTTGCGGATCTTAATATCTACATCATACTAATATATTAATATAAATGAATAAAAGTTAAATTAACTTTGGCAGCCCTAAAATTTCATTTTGTGTGTGTATACAACACACACGCACGATAATCTTAAAAGTATCACCCTGGGACACGGTTTCTGGACTTCTTTAAACCATAGACACAGAAACAGGCTGAGAAGTATGTATGGGAACAAACTCTGAGAAGATCGAATACGACAAAAGTCCTCCCCTTCAAAAGAAGCTGGCAAAAATGGACATTTGCAAGCTTTCTTTTAAAGAATGACTAATTAAGAAGCAATTACATATGACAACAACCATGAGGAGGAAGGAAAGCAAGCCGACCTTTGACACGCTCTACATTATACCATGACTACAGGCAACAGCCATTTACACATCAAAGCAGAGTCTGATAAAGAACAGTCCTAAAATTTGCTCTGTGGAGAGCTAGTCTCAGAGCTCTGCTGTGTCCATATAGTATCCTAACACAAGTATTATCAGCTTTTATCTGCGGCTGAAGAAATGGGCTATTAGGGAGTGCAGAAGAAACCATTTATGGGGTGCATTCTTCTTTTTTTGTCTTTATGGTTCTACGCCTGATCAATCATCCAAGCATGTTTGACCAAAACAAACAGCGTGCGAGTCCACATTCCTCTTTTTCAACAGGCTCAAACTCAAAGGACAGAGACTAGGCTATTTGTCCAGCAAGAACAGGATCACACACTCATTGAATATCAGGCTGAGGGATCTTTATCGCAGGTTCCTCTGATGTATTACCTGCTGCTGACTTCTGTAGAACCTAATCCGGACATACACTTCAAAAGTTCAAGCTGTGCTCATAAATGTATTTAAATGTTGTAAATATGTAAGGCAATGAGTAGAAACATGAGGAATCATGTTGCACAAAGGTTACTGGCTCTAACAAACGACATGATTTCAACATTTTATAACAAAGCACTAAAAGGTTTAGTGAAGGCTGCAGAACTTTTAGATAAAGTGAAATATAATCTCTGCCTGTCCATGCAGTGAAGTAAAGCACTGTGTACTGTCAATGCACCACTTTCAAGTTCAACTCGAGGCACTCTGCTGCTATAAAAGAACCACAAGAAAATGGAAAATAAAGCCAAGGGGGAAAGCTTAATGAAGTATCGATGAAATTCTTGACTGCAAGTGTAGATTCATTCTTTCAGCATTAGACATCTCTGAGGTGCGGCTCACTGTGTAACTGAAATAGCAATAGCTATGTACTGCCACCTAGAGGAGGAGGAGGGTGTAGAAAACAGGCTCTATCGATACTCTTGACTTCTAACACTTTTGAGACAGCCTCAAGCAGTAAAAATAAGATACATTGGTTTAATGTAAACATTTTTAAATTAATAAAAATCACAAGAATTTGTATATAAATACAACAGACAAACTGTGTGTTTACAGTCACATTGAGGCAGTTTATTGACCCAAGGACAAACTTAAATGTTTAAGCTCCTCAGCTCAAATATTTCATTTTACAAATGAAATTACATAAATTTACTACATAACAAAGGAAAAAAAAACACGATAGAACATTATCAAATGAGGAAATATTTAAAAAGCCCTGAAGAATAGAGCTACAAGAAGGATGATTAAACATAACAGTACATTTGGAAAGAATGCATTCATTTAATACAGTCACACATCACCATATCCACAAAATGAGGGGTTAGTCACAATAAGCTTCTCCAGGAATTTTGTATCAGTTCACAGATTAAAGCCTGGAATGAGCTGCCAACGGACCACACAACACCGTGTGTGTGTGTGTTTATGCATGTATATTCACAAATTCCCTTTTTGTTCATTCATTTCACTTTCAGTCCAGCTCATTGAAACGTGCAAACATGGCCTTCCGAACTGCCTGTTTGTACGTGGCATGATTCCAGACGACGGGTTCCTTCTTCTTCCGCTTTGGTAAGAAACAAAAGAAAGAGAAAAAAATGAAACCAATGCCCCTCAGCTGCTGCAGCTCAGAACATCCTGTTGCGGAATAGACTCACCTCAGTAGTTTCTAAACCCAAACCTGGTCTCTCGCTGCCTTTATGACTGTCCCTGCAACAACAACAACACAACATGCCACATTTAAGATATGACGGTTCAATATCAGTGCCAAGTGTAAATGAAATGTATTAGGATTCAGAAATTGAACTGTCTGTCTGTTCAGTCACTCTCAAGGAAACTGTCTGTCTGTCTGTCACAGCCCAAAACCCCGTCTTTGAACCCTTAAACTTGCCTGTCATGAGCCCAGAGAATAATAATGCACTCCGTGTCTGTCCCTTTAACTCTGTCACTGCCATAGAGAACATTGATGAACTTCTTGTGTTCCCTGCCTTGGCCCCTGAAACCATGAATGCACTGCCTGCATTGTCTGTCTCTGTTTTCCCTAGGCCCCA